CGCCAAAAATGATGAATTTGCTATACATTACGTAATAGCGCCTTTAATGCGTGCAGTACATTGTGCGCAGATGACAATGGTGTCAAACTGACCGCAATGAAGTGCCCTTTCGAATGATACCAAGTATGGTATATGTTCACACAGACAATTTTGAGTAAATCACATTTGAACAAGGGTCACTATACAAATTTCGCTGAGTTTCCGCCCAATTATAACACGTATCGGCTATGACATCATTTTTTCAGACTGCTTTTCGCCCCCTAAACGTCCTTTTCTTTCCTTGAAATTTTGCAGTGACATTCCGAGTTGCAATACGCAGGGAAACTCGTGGCCGGATTTATAAAATTGGTCAAGGGGGCCATTTAAGACGCCATTTTGTCCTATAAATCTATTATACATCACCTGTTTCGATAGGATTATCATAGAAAAAAAGAGAGTGGTTTACAATAACAACCATGAAATTCTCTTTCTAATGATACCAAATACGGCCCATAAAAAGACATAAAGAGAGAGAGAAAAAACAAATTAACTCCGGTCATAGTACAGATCCTGTACGTTTTCCACTCATACATTACAAGCATTGTCTACGGGGCATACCGGGTTCACTCTTGGACCCCCAGAACGATCTTTATTGCAATGACGAACATGCACCAAATCCCATTGGTTTTTGCACGCAGTGCTTGTGAGCCCTTTCTAGGTTCTTTCCCCTAACCCAATTTCTCTCAAACTTCGTAGGCATAGTCAGTACCATCCCATCAAGGTCACTGTTGAAGCCTTTCTTTCACCCTACCTATCTCCAATATCACAGAAGCTACAGACTTCGTACAAATTGCTTGGGATAGTCCGAGAGAAGCTCTTTCGTTTGACAGGTACAATCATGGCGTCATTGCACGCACATCGTTGTGACACGATTGCATTTCTAGTTTTTTGTTTGTGGTCATTTATCTTTTGATAGTTAGTGTAATATGAAGATATTTTAGATATCCCTATTGTTTTTTCTTACCAAATTAGTATATCGCTCATCTTCACTTTCTGTTTCAGAAGGAAATTCCTGTAAGAGGATGACACTTTTTATTTTTAGCCATTAGCCAACTATCTTTTGCTTTCATAGGCATCAAATAACTTTTGTTATGATAATGTAATAGCTTTCATAAACAAAGGTTAAATGTGGACTTATTGTTCCTTAAGATTAAGGTTCATCTTTCATCACGGCTTCTAATAGTTGATGAAGTTGCATTTAAAAATCAAAGTGACACCAGTAACCCTCTTATCCCCCCCCCCCAAAAAAAAAAAAAAAAAAAAGAAGAAGAAGCAGAGTTAGAGAAGAAGATGAAATAGAAGAAGAAAGAAGAAGGAGAGGAGGGGAAAGAGAGGAGGAAAGAGAAAGAAGAAAGGAGGGAGAAAGAAAGCATAACATGAAGTTTGGATATTTGAAAGGAGAACAAAAAACTATCATTGAAAATTTTGTTTCAGTCAAAAGTCACCTATCACACCTACATTCAGATTCACAGAAAAAGTGATTTCCCCTTCCCCTCCCCTTTCATTTTAAGATATGTACCATTATTATCTTTTATTTTTGGCATGATTCCATGTCCGCTGTGAATTGTTGAGGAGTGTATGCTTGTCAAGAATAGGGATTCAGGAAGTCATAGAGTCTTTGTTTCCTGTTCCAAGGGCCATCTCTTGAAACATGAACCTTCTACGTGTATACGTCCGTCAAATGAAAGTCGTCACGTTCCAGTATTCTACAGTGAAAGTTCTTAGGATCATAGAGATTGTATACATGTACATTGTATAGAGCTTCCTTATCTTGGGTGGGTCATCGCATGAAAAATCAGTTATGGCAAGATCCTGTCAGATTTTAATGTTGGATCCATTTTATTTTCAAAAATATGGTCTCCATAAAGAAGAAAGTGATATTACAAATATTTCTTGATAAATGTCCAAGAAAACAAAGTATTGAAAGTAAAATAAAAATGAAAACAAAGCAAATCAAGATCAGCAAAGGGGGAATATCTTTCATATTTGTATTGTTATTAAGAGAAGTGACCACTTTCAAAATAGTATTGAAAATATGTGCTCGTGATTTCTCTTTCAGACACCTGAAATAGAACAACAGGATTTGATTTTATGTTGCTTTTCAAAAGTGCAAGTAATTGTTCCTGAATATCCCATGTGAAAAAGGTGGAATTACCATCTTGTTGTCTAAGCTTAGAGTTAGATATCAAGATAACAATACAAACACATACATTTTATTAATAATTTTCAACTTTTATAGAGATGCCGAATTGTTGTATTTTTACTCTAAACAGATACCGCATAACAAACTACATGTAGTGGGTCAGCTGAAGGTAAAATGAGACCTATGACATTTGACTAATCCATTCAGAATGAAGAACAGTGTAAAGACAACATTTAAAGGGGAAGTCCACCCTGAAATTAAGTTAGTTTTAATAGGAGTAGAAAAATGAGAGAAACAAGTCAGTGAAAGTTTGAGCAAATTCCGATTAAAAATAAGGAAGTTAGGATTTTTGAAGTTGTGATCAATCAAACACAAATTGGCAACTCTATGACGTATCATGCGAGCTCAACTTCCATTTGCTCAGTACTAAAAAAATCTAAAATTTTCATTTTCCCTCAAGAAAAATTTCAACCATACATGCACCCTAAATATAATAATTGCAAATATGTTTCTATACTCCCCCTGCAAGGAACAAATACATATTCCGTCATCAATAACGAAGAAAACATGATTTTATGGAATATTATGCACAAAGCAAATGAAGGAAAGCTCGTATAATAAGTCACAGAGTTGCCAATTTGTATTTGATTGATCACAACTTCAATAATTCATAACTTTCTTATTTTCATTCAGAATTTGCTCAAACTTTCACTCACCTGATTTTCTTATTATTCTGCCTCTATCGAAACAAACTTATTTTGGGGGTGGACTTTCCCTTTAATGTACCCTTGTAGTTGTGTCTTCTTACTATCAGATAATTCAACATGCATTAAAACCTGTCTGTAAATACCCCCTAAAGGAAACTGTAGAAATTGTCTCAGTAGACAGACTTCTCCGACAGCTTCTATCACAGCTTTAAACAAAAAAAATATTTATTAGGGAAGTGGTGAAATTGGCCTGAATAGATACATGTAGCTGCCCATTAATAGATGTGCAACAGATTTGACAGAACACTAAAAGTTCATTAATGTTTCCCTTTAATTGATCCGCCTTGGAGTTCGCAAAGTAGTGTCCAATACGAGCGATTAAATACGAGGATGATGTCAAGCACATCACCTACTAGGGGCGTCTGGAGAGGGAGAGCAAAACAGCCAGCCCATTATATTAAATTTCCTGTTATGCTAATCAAATGATTTCCCGTCTTTGGACTCAAAGCGGGTGTTATTGTCTCCTGGATCTGGCCGGCCGGCGAGCCAGAGACTCCCGAGAGAAAACAAGTCCAGGGACCTGTTTCACAAAGCCTTTTTTCAATGACAAATGTCAAAAATCAGTGTGAAGTCTGCCGATAACCAATCAGAAGCAAGGATTTCAGTAGCTTATAACAAAATCTGTCATTTTTCACTGATGACAAGTTTTGTGAAACGGGTCCCAGGCTTTCCTCATCGTCTGAGGCTCCAGACAGTGCCTGCTGAACAGCTGTGTTTTGTTGGGAAGGGATGCATTAATGGAATTAAGGGCCGGTCACATTTCATTTTAAAAATATCTACAACTACATTACATGTATAATAAATGATCATTTTAAAAAAGGTATTCGATGATGAATGCTTACCGGGTATTTCTCCAGTTGATCCAATAGTTTAGGAAGAGAGAATCGTATAACATTTTTTTTGAAGATTTACTGTAAATAATAGTTATAGTTACACATGTAGTTACCGTATTGTACATTTATTAAGTTACAGTAATATTTATAGTTATACATGTACATGTATTTATACTTGATAAGTATAGTTTTTTTTTCATCATAATTATAATATAATTACTGTCAAGTCATTATCATTGATGTGTGACCGGGTCCTACTGTTTTAATGAATGCCCTTGGTTATCTGTGCAGGAAGAACTCAATGTTTCCTCACTGAACTCATCATACCTGAACTCTCAAGGATAACCAAGCCTTGTAAACATGTCCATACAGTAATGGTCTCTATTCATGGTGGTCAAAGGCCAACTTGGGAAAGTGGCCATGCACAACAGGTGTACCGTAAATGTTTTCTTAATGACCGCTAAAACTATGGACTTAATAATTTTTAATTGGGAAGTTATTTTCTCAAGGTAAATGCTAGTGTTTTTTGTCAGGTGGTGGATTAGCAGTGTTGTATCTGTCCATCGTGTCACCATGATGTAATCTGACACACTCGATAGAACAGAGTGAACTTATTATTGGTAATTTATTGCTTTCAAGGCTAAAGTGTGTCAGCTTGGTTCTTCCTTGTTTGTCGTCATATAATCAAGTGTAATGAGTGTAGATTTCTTTTAAAAGCAATCTTGAAGGTTGGTGGTTGACACAGGGAAGTCAAATTTAAACCCTGAAATTGAGAATGACCTTGTGGTTTAGTGAATTAAAAATAGCTATACAAAAGAGAGAGAGAGAGGGAAGAATTCACTGAGCTAATGTCTTTTGCTTCTTTGAAAACCTTCCTCAGGTTAATATGAAATCATTTATGAAAGTGATATGTATATGTCTTTCTAAAATCAAGTTTAATGAGTGTAGATTTCATTTAAAAGCAATCTTAATGGTTAGTGGGTGACGTAAAAAGTCAAATTTAACCACTGAAATTGAGAATGATCTTGTAGTTCAGTGAATTAAAAATAGCTACAAAAAAGAAAAACTAAAGAATCCACTGAGCTTTTGTCATTTGGTCCATTAAAAATGAAAATGTTTCTTTGGTCATTATGAAATCTTTAATGAAGGCAGTAATAAAATGGATATTAATTTATTTTCTTTCCCATTTTGTCTTTGTCTTTTCTTTGCGACTCACAGAGCCAGTATCAGTCGAGATCCTTTCTACGAGATGCTTGAAGCCCGCAAGAAGAAGGCGTCCCACAAAGCAGAAACATGAGTGACCAGCGGTGACCAGAGGTGACTGGAGGTGATCAGCGGTGATCAGCCAGGACAGGAACCGTGCAAACAGAACTCATAGGAGAGACTCTCAAGATAGAGAGTTCTGGGCCCCATTTCACGAACCTTGTCATCAGTGACAAATGACAGTTTTTGTTAGAAGCTACTGAAATCATTGCTTCTGATTGGTTATCAGCAGATTTGTCTCTGATTCTTGTCATTTGTCGTTGAAAAAAGGCTTTGTGAAACGGGGCCCTGTTCTTCTCCCTTCTCCCCAATAAGTGAAAATGTATAGATGAATAACAAGCCTGCAAGCTGCTGTGTTATCAATGCTGGAACGGAAAGGGTGCCTGCAGAAGTTTAATTTTTGAAAGCATCCTACTCTTTTTTCTATCTTGTCAATACAGCCAAATTCTGTAAAGAAAAAAAATGAATACTAAGCTTCTGTGCCATACAGTCGTGTTCCTCTGAAAATAAAAGACTCAATCAAATTAATTGTGTCTGCAGAACTTAGGAAGTCTTATTTGTGAAATTATTCTATTCTTCTCCCAGCCTGGTCAATACAACAAATTCTGAGACAAAATAACTGAAAACTAAGCTTTCTGTGCCATCCAGTCTTGTTCTTTAAAAAAAAAAGAAGAACACTCACAAAAAACAAGGACACTGGATCAAATGATTTGCACACAATTTACTTGCATCTTAAAGAGAATAAATTGGATTCTTTGGGTATTAGTTGGTACAATTGCAGGGTAAAGAATGGTGTCTTTAAGAGTAGCTCTGAATTCTCTTCATGATGGAGATACGACGTTCTTTGTGCAACAGCTATACTATATGCTCTTCATAACAAAAAATGGCCGACTACTATACATGAGTGTGTCATTTTCAGTCTAATACTTCACTTTTTCTCTTTGATGTATATATATATAGGGGTTCAGGTAACTACGTCTGTACCTGAAAATATAATATATACATGTACATGTAGTATTTATACAGGATATATTTTATAACCTCTGTTTATTTGATATGAAATGTTTTGCATACTCAACAAGACAACAAGTAATAAATTTGTCTCATTTCTCATTTCTTCTTGATTAATTTTCAAAACAATTGAAACAAAATGCATTTCAAGTATTTTTGTTGTTGAATGCAACAATAAGGAATGCCTGTTTTAAATCTCATTTCTTGATTAATTTTCAATTATTTGAAGCAGAATCCATTTTATATTTCTTTTAAAGTATTAATTGTATTGATTAAAAGTAGGCTAATTGAAAGACAAGGACACCTTGTTAAGTTGAATTGATTAGATTTTCAGATTTATAGTTTGAAATAAGCATTCTATTTTATTTTAATTTTGCACTGATTACCTCTATATTTTTCGTTCATTTTCTACCATGAACAAATTTGTTCCAATTTCTATCTCGATATGCACCATGTACAAAGTTTTTTTAATCTGTCTTTTGGACCATATAATGCTGTAAACTTGGAATCTTGTTCACTACAGTGAGTTACAGTAAGTGTACAGGATTTGCACAAAGGGAAAGAACATATAATTTTTGTTTTCTTGGATAAGATTTTGCATTTCAGTCTTGCTTGTACCGTATTGAACCCATCCCATTCAAGCTTTGAAAGTTACATGCAAATGTGATTGTGCGGCTTGGTGTTAAAAATGACTTTGTGTGAAATTTCTCAACATTTACAGTAGTTTTTTGTGATATAGAAACAAAAGGATAGACAAAGGTTCTTTTTTGAAAAACTTGCCATGTAATATTATATGTATACCAGTATAAGTTATGTCTGTATTGTTGTAATGATGAATCTGGTACTAAGAAAGTTTGCACACTGAAGCCTTCACAGAATCATTTTTAATTTTAGTTTTAAAAAAAGATGGAATGGAAACATATTATCAACACTTCTCTACAAATTAAAGAAGCAGAAAGAAAAATTGAATCTTGCGTAAACAATAAAAATACTTGAATCTTGCATAACATAAAAATTATTTTGGTAAGCAGCTGATAAGCTTGAATTGTGCTGAATCTTGTTGCAATGTTGTGAAAAGGAATTCAATTATAAGAATATTATATTCTACATACTAATTTCCTGATATATAACCCTGCGTATAATGCACTGTATGAATATATTCTAGTTTGTGTATTTGCAAAAAAACGAAGGCTAAAAGTGTGCAAACTTTGTTTATCATCAGTCATATCTTTCATGTGTAATTAACTACAGTGTTAGTTTCCTTCTTTATTTATGTGGTTGTAATTAACTACAGTCCATTTCACATACATGCTTGATGTTGTACATTCCACTAAGATAAAAATGTAGCTGCTTAGAAGAAAATAATAATAGAAATCATTGGCACTGGTTTTCTTGTGTGTAGTGTAGTGGAATAATCTGGAAATACAGTTAAAATCTGCATATTAAGTAGAATCTGTTGGGACAGTGAAATCATAGAAGTGTAAAATAACACGTTATGCTTAATTTTATTTGAATAATTGATTCGACTGCTTTAAATGTTTTTACAAGTTATGCAGAGCTATTCTGCACTCGCAACAGTATTGGTGACAGAGGCTGCAGTAAGCATTTATTGATTAATGACGTGTTATTTCTTTTTGGTTTTATTTTTTGATTGGGACACATATTCTTAATATCATTCAGATTTTTATCTACTTGTAATACAATACACCCGAGACTATAATACCATTACATGATGAATTATTAGCTTACTTCTGTGATGACTTTAATCAAAGTTTACATAATTTATGAATTAATCTAACCACTTTATTTGTCCAATTTAAGGACAAATACATTTTGTTATTTTGAGCGAACATGTCGCATAAATGTACCATAACAGCTGAAGAAATGACAAGCTAATTAAATGTCCTTCCCTTTAAAATGGGACAGTCCCTTATTTTGTATGTACATCATGTATTTGTTGATTTGTAAAAGGGTGCAATTATGCTGCTTTTAATAGTTGAACATTATTGTAATTTATGAACTTTTTTTTCTGCTGTAGCATTCAGATCAATCTTTTACATTTGTATTATGGCTGGGCCCATTACTGATTCATATCAACTTCTAGAAATTCCTATTATGATTTTCAAGAATTGTAATAGACGAATTCCTCAGTTCATAATTGAAGATGTCGAGTACTGTATTGTTGTACCTCAACACTCTCATTCTATTGCATGTAAGTTTTTCATCAAGCTTTGAAAAAAAAAGAGGGAAAAAAATGATTTTGTTTATTGTAGGACCCTATACAATTTCCTAGTAGAGCAACTCACTCCATTCTGAAATAACAAATGTGATTTCATGGGGAAAAAAATATCCCAAAATAAGTCAAATGTAAATAAAGAGAAGCAAAATCAGGAGAATCAGGAGAGATTCTTTCTAATTTTTCATTTTTAAGAGGGGGGGGGGGGGGGGGGGGGTTGCTTTTCATTTTTTATTCCGTAGCCTACTTGGAGTATTTGAATGCTTGAAATTAGTGCACTTGAAATATTTGATAAATATGAGGGGAAATTATGTACACAAAATAAAATGGATAAACATTACATTTTCTGCTAAAGCCTCGGTCACAAATAACGCTACGGGCTGCTACGAACGCCGTACGAATGATTTTCAGACAATGGAAAAATGGGGAAATTCGTTCGAAATAATCGTTCGTACTGACCTTTGTGACCGTAGCTTTAGTAGCACTAAAAAAATGACATAATAATTGATTAGTCTTTTATTTTCTCCATAGAATTGATTATGTTTCTGTAGAATGTAATATATTCCCAATAAGGAATGTGCTAATGTACATGTCTTGTAAATTGTACAAATGTATGAAAAAGTTTGTGTTCGATCTCAATTTTATGAGGTTTGTGTAAATAAAAACAAAAAAGATGATTTGTATCATGTGCAACTCTTTGTAAACAGGGACGATGATGACTTTGTAATAAAATATCTATATACAGTATACAGGAAATGACTTTTGTTCTGTATTTTCATTTGATTGATGTGGAAATGTTATGGTATAGCAAAGGACAATGGTATTCTACCAATTCATTTAAAACCTGTGGTGGGATAGGGCCATATTTCACAGTAAAGAGGAAATGACTTTTGTTTTATTGATGTGGAAATGTGATGGTATACAAAAGTACAATATTTGGTATTCTACGAATTCATTTAAGTCGACACCGTTCAGGTGTTTGCCCAATGACAGGTGTTGTCAATCGGCAGGATTAGCCTTCAGTTTCATGACCGATGGAAATTATGTACTGCTTTGCTTTTTCCCTCACCCGAAGACTCTCAGAGAGACTAGGGGGTGTTGTTTCTTGATAGGACCCCAGGTTTGCTGTGTGCAGACTGGTACAACCATCAATGGTATTTCCACCATCTGGTGTCAGCGAATTATGGCCTTCTGCACATGGAAACTGACCCCCCTCCCCCCAACTTTAAAACTAGCTCGACTTGAAACCCAGCTACAGGTTCAAATTTCTGTAGAATACGGTCCATAATATCTTAATGCCACTGTACACCTTATGACTGCAACTATGGTTTGATTTTGAAAGAGTTTTAAAAGGATCAGATATAGGATTTCAAAATGTAAATTAGATTATGAAGGTCTATATTAACATCTCGTAGTAAGAAAAACAAACAATGATAGTTAAAATCATTAGTGGCCAGTTGTGTGGCTGGCTGCAACTTGCTGGGCCTTTTCTCCAACATGAATACCCACAAAAATCTGCAATTTAGGTATTACCGACAAACTTGGACCTAAATCAGGAGGTAATATAAATTCTTGAAATCCCACACAATTTGATAAGCCCCTGGAGCCAACTGTCGCCAGATATCACCAACTGAACTACACTCTCTGGCATCAACTATGACACTAAGTAATCTTGTTGACAAAAGGGCTTACAATATCAAACATTTTTTAATAATGAAAGAAATATTATGAACAAACTGTCGAATAAAGAAGTACATGTTTCTGTCATGCTTACATTACATGACTTGCAAGCACAGATTTACATATTGCATAATGTGTTGTATATGTATTGCTTTTTAAAAATCAATTATGACACTAAGTAATCTTGTTTACAGAAGGGCTTACAGTATCAAACATTTTTAAAATAATCAGTAGGAATATTATGAACAAACAGTTGAATAACAGTTTGGAAGGGGGACCCGGATTTCAGTTTTTAGAGTCTGTGTGCAGAATAAGCCCCATGTTCAATTTTTTAAGTTTTTTTGATCTGCATTACAGTCATCCTTTCTCGGAACTCTAATTACTCTTTTTTGAGAGCATGGCTCTGCTCAGCCAGTTCTTTGGGTTTGGGTTAGTGTCGAGCCCTGCATTAAATAATAAAATATAAGAAAGAATTCTGGAAAGCATATAATGGATCAGACTAGGTTACATTTGAATAGTGCTGTATTTCTCAAATCGGGGATACTGCTCAAAAGTAAATCAAGATTTACTAGCATTTAATCAAGAAAAGCCAATGTAAACATTTACAGAGATTACACATATACATATTTTCTAAATGTATAACTTTTTAATTAATACATACAGGAGTGTCTGGCTTAATTGTGCTACGACTGGATTGGTACTTTATTACATGCATAAGCAGAGCACCAAACTAAACTCCATATCACGGAAATAGGGAACAAGTAAGGTGGTCCTTTCTGGAATAATTCTTGTCTGAAATAAGGGTTCCTTTTCAAGTAACAATGTGTATGTAATTTAGGGGAGGTTTTAATATATACCGGTACTAAGAGATTGAAGAATTCAGCGAATGAATTTACAAACTGTTGTATGCAGAGAAAACATGAGATTCCACTTGCAAATGCATTTATAACCATCAATTTTCTCATCACCTTGCGTCCATAGTCTAAAAGTCTCTTTGGCATATTCAACAAGAAATGCCAAAGCTTAGATAGAGCCATGTCATTTGAGCTCTTGTTTCAATCGCATGAAACAAATTTTGGTGATAAATGATTTTGTTTAAATAGTATTAAAACAATTAGTTAAAACAAACCCATGCTAGGCCCGACATCTATTTCATGTCTACTTACCAGTTTCTCTTGGAACATTGCTTCCGCAAGACCAACACATGCTATGTGATAAGAAACCTGGCAAACTACACAAAGAAGTTTTGGTCATTTCCTCTTACTGGTGAGAATTTGCTTCAGCCAAAAATTTGAGTGCCGTGACAGCTGCCTCGTTGATCGAGGCATCCTCATCAAATGGATTGTTTATCTGGACAAAGTCCAGTAGGCACATCTTCTTAACCATCTTGCTCGTTTGGTAGTGGCCCTAAATTCAACCTAGGAAGATGTGGCTGCAATTTGTCCTAGATAACCCAGATGAACACAACTAGGTTGACAACTTGGCATCCAGACAAAACGCAGGAATAGTCAATCTGGGGAGGCTTGTTTCAATCGCATGAAACAAGTAACAGTATACATGGTATATGCCTCACTTTTCTTGAATGCCACACCACCACCTGAACAATGGTTCATGACTCCTAGTACCATCAATTGTGTTCCCTGGCAATTATTTGCTTGTCAGCACTATTGCAATTGAAGATCTTGTTTAGAAATGAAATAAAAATGATAAACTTTATACTCTATTGGCGACTTCGTCAACTAGTGCTTCACAAATGAAGTTCCGTCTCACTGAAGGGTGCATCTTGAAGCTGACAGAAGAGGAACACAGGATGAGGCTGGAACATCCACAACTTGAACATCAGCTACTCATGGAAATACTCTCTATTAAAAAGCGCACAGCACAGGCACAAGAGAGAGAAGAAATTGGAGCAAGAAAAGAGACAGCTAAAAGAAGAGATACCCCCACTCCTTTTTCATTTAGCTTGGCTGTTGTTGGAGACTCTTCAAGTAACAATCTCGAACAGAGAGCGTTACAAACATACATGTAGAATCTTTGGGAAGTACACTGAGTAGTGTACAGTGACTTAAGAGCTACAGCTACAAATGGAAATACTCTACATTAAAAAGCACACCGCACAGGCAATCAGGCAATATAGAGGAAGAGTAAAGAAAATAGTGGCATGAACAGCCTGCCATAGTTAAGTCCAACTTAAAGTCGATCTTGTTCTTTGTGAAACACTCCCCTTCACTCCTGAAGGTCTAGAAGGATTCTACTCTAGGGCTAAATACTGTGCCCTCTGCAGGGTGAGTGATCCAGGGAGAAAGAGTCTTTGGAGTGATACAAACATATCTCTCGCGCAAGAACGGCAAAGGATTGCAACTTGCGCTCATATCCTTTCTGACAGCCATATTGCAGCCTTGCATCCACCCTTGATGACCATGTCCATTGTAGAGTACATGGGTGCCTAGAATGAGAAGATGAGAAAATATTCTAAAATACTTAAGAAGATAAATAGATGTCTGCTCAATTGACACATTTAATTATATCAATGTCCTTTCATTTAAAGCTAAATATATTACTCATTGCGGATATAGTATCGAAAATAATATCGCTAGTGACACTTGTTTGTCTCGCAATGTATGGTCAACAATATTTTATCACCTTTTATCACCTGACAAAGTGTTGCAGCGGCGCACGAAATGTTGTGATCTTCCAGATCCCTTGTTGACCATTCATTGCGAGACAAACGAGTGTCACTAGCGATATTATTTTTGGTCCTTTCATTTGTTTCATGGTCGATACTTTCACCGCTTTCTTGCCTGTATGTAAACTTTGTTTTTCTAAAAAGTTTGAAGACTGCAAACTGGCCTTCCGTTGTCTCCTAACATCAAGCCAAATCAGAACATTATTTAAAAAACTTGGGGTTGATGAAAATACAACAACAGCACTTTGAAATCAGCTAGAACCTATCAAACTTGGTACAAAGCAATGAATTCTAGTACTGGAAGTAAGAACTCAACAGGACTACAATTTGGCCCTTAATGTAAAACAAACCTACATAAGAATGCAATCCACACAGGATCAACAAATCTATGCATTCACACATAATAAACAAATAAAGTACAGTATTGCTTTTATGAAGTAGACACATAAACACCAGAGTCTATGCATACCTGCCAACATTTGAAAATAAGAATTAGGAATTGTTAGCACGATATGCCTTCGAAAATAAGAAATCGCACTTGCAGTGGCAGTATATTATGGCAATACGTGGTAAATCTGTAACAAAAAGCGAATAAAAATTTGCTGCTCGATCATGCAGCCATTCAATGCACACAATACGTGAACTCTGAAATCGCAGCACATTATAAAACAAGCTTAACTTGGCTTTAGCACTAAATAAATATATTTAAAAAAATATTTTAAAAAATTATTTAAAAAAAAAAAAAAAATTGAAAATTTGGAATATTCCGGATTATTCGGAAGGGTTGGCAGGTATGTCTATGGAATAATACATGCAGTCAAACATGACACAGTTTCAGAGTGTCTACTTTATTTCAAGCAATACTGTATAACAACAGACTTAAAGATAAAGACCAGTATTGGAAATGCCCCAATTTCAAAAAATGAAATGGAAGCTCTCATTACCAATCATGTGAAAGAATATGTTTTGACTAATACATGATGATCAAAAATTTGCCGGGACACCGCCTAATAATTCATATATTTGGTAAATTTGTTTCTCTCATGGTCTGTGAGAGATATAGGGTAGTCCCATATACATCTTTCTGTGTATAGTGCTTGTAACTTTACGAAGAATGGGCCAAATTTCTTATCATTTTGATGATTCCAGAACCTTGCAGATGCTAGATGCTAGATGATCAACCTTTTCTGATCGATTCCACAACGTTTCTTTCACAATGCAATCGTATGACCATAACTGGTCTTTACCTTTAAATGACAATTTGTTTATAGTTACCTTCTTGGCATCATTCTCTAGGCCTGTATTAAGATGTTCTAGCTCCTCATCTCTGAATTGCTTGATAATTTCTAATAGTTCCTTGTGGACCTCAGGATCATCCTCAATCAGGGCACGGATCTGGCTGTAAGATGAGAATATGGATAAGCATTTAGAAAGCGTCGGGGAGCTAATGCACTTCACATTCAACAAATGTACAACATACTTGCAGTTGGCTCGAAAGACTTTGTTGCCTTTTAGACTCAGATAAATGGATCCACTAAAATTTAGATGGTGTAAAAGGTAAATTTGTAAGGCAACTTGTTTGGACCAGTAGTGGAACGAAAACTCTGATCATGACGAGCCTATTTATTTGTGAAGTAATTTCCAGACCAGTCCTTAAATAAGCCTAGGAAATTTAATAGACTAGTGGGGCGTTGCAAGAAAGTTGAGTTGCAATCAATTGCAAATATAAGTTCAAATTTTGCAACTTGCAATCAATCGCAACTTTTATGAAACGCCCCATATTAAAGTCTAATCATCAATGGATGTAATACTTACTCATTGTAATGTTGTCCTATTGATTCTTCTACTGCTACTGTGCAAGCCATGGCAGCTTCCTTACCCATGAGAGCTGTACCAGCACCTGATTCAAAACATCAAGAGCAACATTTGAGCAAATATTGATAACTTATTTGCTCATTCAACATCTGTAACTTCACGCAGAAATGTAAAAAAATCAACAAAAAAAAGAGAAATAAAATAAAACAATATATATGCTTTGTTCTGAAATGTTACAAAACCATTCCTCCTCTAATAACAATTGTATAAATCCTAACTTCGACTTTATTTTCCTGCGGATAACACATACAGTAAGAGCATATAGGCCCAAATTTACAAAGGAGGTTTGTCGACAAACCTAGGTTTATGTGCGTCATATGACGAGTTTCGACACCTTTTTACAAACCAAGGTTTGTCAAAACGCGTCATATGACGCACATAAACCTAGGTTTGTTGACAAACCTCCCTCGTAAATTCAGGCCAAAGTGTTTGAAATTCCTTCTAACAATACCATGGAGTCATAATTTAGGTGATATAAAATCAATTCAAGAATTTAACGCACAGTTATGGGAGTCTTGTAAAGATAATAATAATAATAATAATAATACTCAGTTTTCATGTATAGCGCTTCCAAACTTGGAGATTATTACCCCCGCTTTACTGTTTTCTAACTCTGGTTTGATTTGATTCTTGGAGGTTGGAAAGGAAGTAAAAGTTTACGGGTCATATTTGAAAGCGGTTTAAATATCGCCAAACTTTGTCAGTGCTCACCCAAGACATAGCCGGCAACATTCCATATTGGCAACAGGACCGTGGGTCGTACCCTGCGTTCTGGGATGAGTCTCTCAAATGTCTCCTTGTGATGTTTCTCTTGATCCCACATCTCCTAACAACGTAAAGATATATCATGAACATTTTCTAGAATATATTTAAGTAAGTATTGTCTGTTGGGAGCCGGGGGAGTACAAATAACACAAATAATTCCTCTGTCTCTCAACAGAGAGATCAATTTATATTGCTGGAGAGGCATAAATCACAAAGGAGGAAAATGGGGAAAAGTAAATATAGAATAAGCAATCAAGACATGAAAATTAGGTACAAAATGACAAGTCAATTAGCTTGCGAAAACGTTAACATTTTCTGTCAAACATCCGAACCAGGCCTTTGCGTTCGGTTAGGAAGTGCCATGTTCGGCAAACTTCCGTTCGGTTTCGGCGGTTCGGCTACAGCACTACAATTAATGCACGTGAGCTACATTCTGACAAGAAAGCAAAAAATTTACACCTACAAATGTAAACAATGATACAAAAGACACACCAACCTGTATAAGGGGTCCCACTGAGGTATTCTTGAGTACAGCAAGCTGGCCGGCATAGATCCTATCAGCCCCTACCTCCCCGGCATGGTCCACTCTGATGAACCTGTCTATCATCTCTCTTCTGGTCAGGCCAGAAAGGGAGCTGGCTGACCTCTGACCTTTGACCTCCACAATGGCTCTGCTCATTCGCAACTTGTACTGCCTCAGGACACAGTACCTTATTGAAGTCAGATTCTGCATCTTGGATGGATTGTTGGTGTATCAAAAGTGCTGTTAAAACAGGCTGTAAGAAGCGAAACAATTTATACCATGATGATCAGATGATAACAGTGTGATAAAGTCTCTTTCTATGTGGAATATTTCAAACAATAGACTATATACTTTTGAATTAAAGATTTCCTTTCAATAACAAGGGAAACGCTCTCGGCGGTCTCGTCTGCATTACGCAATTCGATGAGATGACAAATGGAGGTTGGGACATTATCTATAGGCAGGGTGGCCCATAAGTAGGCCCCCAAAAATGAAACCTCTGAATATAATCAGCATTTTGAAGTGAATATTGACTAAGAATCATCAGAAGAATTATTGATAATTGATAACTTTCATGAAATATGACAAATAACAATAATTGATTTATAAATTCTCATATTGAGTTGTGAAAAACATAATCCAAGTCCACTGACCTAAAATGACCTTTGAACTCCGTGACCTGGAATTTGTGTCATATGGTTTGTGATACTTGTTAACCCTTGGGTACAAGTTTTATGGAATTTGAACAAACACTTTTGAAATTATGCTAAAAATTCAAAATCTTGATGTTGATCATGCCACAACAAAGTCTAAGTTTGCAGACCTGAAATGACATCTGACCTTGACTTTGTCACCTAAAAGACATCACATAATTGGTGATACATGTAGATTCTACATGTGTATTTGATAAAAAAAATGTAGGTCTACCGGTAGACCTAGATCTATGTTCAAGTTTCATGGAATAGCAATGTATACTTTCAAAAATATGATACAAATTCCATCAAGGTGTTGAGATGACGTACGTCCGTCCATGAATGATTTCACAATCAGGACAGTGAATCATTGAAATGGATAGTCTCATTCTCAGCTCACTTAACTTAAGTTCTAGACCGAAAGCTTCAGTCTCTCTATATCGTCGGTTAATTCCACTGAGACTACTGGCTCCACTAGATCTACGATTGGGGAATGTCAACAAATGTCAGTTTTATTAAAGAAATGACCCATATCAGACGGTTATTTCTGTCTAGGGCCTAGACTCTACTTAGTAGGGTGTCTGAACGATTTTTCAATTTTCAATTTGGGATCGTTTTTCACCATTTTTGTTTGATATTTGAATAAAAAATGTTATCAGAATAATACATTTCAAATTTCAAGTCTCACCGATGTTTCTATCAAAAGTTACAGCCCCTCCAAAACGCTGGTATATTCATATCATTTTGGTCAAAATCGACGAAAAAGACGTCCACGCAGAGTGATGTTGTTTTGCTAAATTTAGCCAAACAGCTGTATCGCGCGATATGCAAGCGTATGCATATCGTACGCATGCTGCTAAGCCAATCCGCGACTTGCAGCTTGAGCTACGCTGTCTCCGCGACATGTGCGATTGACTAGTATGGTTGGCGTTCGTCGCACAATAAACCCGGAAGTGAATGCACGTTATAGTCAATGGCAATATCGCGGAGACAACGCACGTTGTCTCCGCGATATTGCGGAGACAACGCACGTTGTCTCCGCGATATTGCCATTGACTATAACGTGTATTCACTTCCGGGTTTATCGAGGGAATTGCCAACCATAATTTCAGTCACTATAATGTGTAATTGAATTTGGGGTTTCGTTCGTGCGCGGAGATGTTACGCGATGTAACCATGGTTTGGACTGAGCGGAGCGCACGCCCCCTAATTAGCTGATCCACCAAATAGCGAAAAGGGTATTTTTAAACTGTTATCAGTTGTGATCCCTGGGGGCTAGCGAAAATATAATCACATAGAATTGTTCCTTAGGACTGGGACTACTTATCGATCGGGGCGTCATATCTCAAAAGTGACAAACCTCAGAGTTAGCCAGGACACAATGTTTAAATTGCTGTTTTGACCAAGATATTTTTAGAATTTCGGGGGCTACGCCCCTTTGGAAATATTGGAATTCACCTGCTCTTTCATATGACACCTCATTCATTGATTATCACCTTCAGGATCACAACTGATAAAGGTTTGAATCTCGATTTGGAAAAAAAAAATTGACTTTTTTTGCATGGTCGCGCAATGCACGTAGGCTGCATAGGGATGCGTGTAATCTCTATGGGAAGAATTTTAGCACACAACATCGGGTGCGCAATCAGACACCCTATACTTAGACCTAGATCTAGATCTAATTAAGTTCTAGCTTCTCAGTGCCCTGGTCTAATAGTCAAACTTACATAACTTCACTAAAAAGTAATAGTAATACTTATAGTTTTCACAAAAAAGCCAACACCGTTTCATACAACGTACTAGCCAAAGGCCAAAACGTAATTTTAATAATAATACGTTCGTTATTTTCCAAATCTTCTACTACCTACCTAGGGGTCTACACTGCTTATGGGCGATGTACCCGCCGACTCCAGCGGGCTACGAGTTTGGAGGTTATGGAATGAAAGGGTAGTTTGATTGGCGATATGACACAACCAAATGTACGTCACTTGCAAAGATATACAGCTCTCCTTCGTGCTGAAAAGGCGAAACGTCTGTACAAAATTATCAGAAGAATTTAATTTCATGATTAAATACATACATGATTGAGGAAAGAAACACTTACCAAATGAATAAGCTCAGCTCAACCTCAGCTCAGGGTTATTCAAGTCTCTGGATTACGTGCATTATTGCACATGCGCATAGAGATGCGCTCTTGCATCACCGGTCGTGCATGCATAGTGGATGCATTAGATACAGTGACGGATTCAGGGGGGGGGGGCACAATATGATTAGATGCTTCCTATTCATGGAGGGGGTTTTGAACAGAAGAACAGAAGAACAGGAAATATGTGCAAAGTTTCACGCATGCCCCAGTAAAATTGTATATGTTTCATATTATGGATATAGATCTACATTGTAAACAAAGAGTAAAATCCATGCATCTGCCATGGCTGTAGCAGTCACATGCATGATAATGATGACGTATTTTGTATATATCACATGTTATCAAAAAATCATTAATTTCCCTTTTGTTTAATTGGGGGGGGGGGGGGAGGGGGAGATCGATCTGAGGCCCTGCCGGGAGGCCTTGATGATTTCCAAGCTAGAAATCATCTTTCTCATAGTTTAATACAGAACTGTTTTTTTTTCCGTCCTGTTCAACTTTCTTCCGTCTTTATATAGGCACATAATGTCGAGCCAAATCTACAGCAACGTAATCTTTGTGTAATTTTAAGTTTAATGGTTTTTCTCTCTCTTTCTCTCTCTCTCTCACCCTCTCGATTTGGCTTTCTCTCTCTCTCTCTCTCTCTCTTTAGATCCTCTTTTCCCGTCTCCCTTTACTTTCTTCGCTTTTACTTTTCTTTTCTTGATATTTTTTACTTTTCTTCCATCGCTTTCCCTTTTTGCAGGGAGCATTTGTTTACAAAACAACACCAAATTTGTTTATCCTTTTGGAAAGAATAGAGATAGGATGTATGTGGATGAGGCTATATATGAAGGCAGCTAGCTATTAAGGCCGCAAAAATCAGTGGGCACAGCCGATTCGCAACCGCCACCCATCCCCCCCCCCCCTCCCCCTCGATCCGCCAGCTAGTGATTACTAGTATACATATTTTGATTTACACATATAGCTTGCAGTGGGGTGGGCTTTCCATATAGCGCCAGTAAATTGGGATAATCGGACAAAGTCCACTGAAATACACATAATACGATTATGATTGTTTTGTCATATCTTATCTTAATGAGATTATCTTGAAAATGGAAGATAGAGACTAGAGATGGACTAAAGTTGCTTGCTTTGCTTTAATTTGTTTTCTTTTCCAGATGATATTCATTTATATGGGCCTATTCTAGCTTCGAAGCTATATTATGATCTCGAACACTCTTATTTCATGAATCACAGGGGATTGCATCCCCGCATCCCCTGGTTCCCCTATCCCCCCTCTTATTGTTGTTGGAGTACAGAGTAGGGCGTCTTATATCTCTATGGGCGTACATTACCGTATCATTCTTGCGAATATTTACTCCTCGTAATTTAGTCTAACTCCAGACTTGTATGAGTTATTGCAGCATGATGTTATTACTGACCCTCATTGTATTTAGATTTTAGCACATATGAAGATATTTGACGATGAAATATTATATAATAATATACTACTAAAGAAATTTAAAGACAATTATACAGAGACAATGTGTTTAATTTAGCTGCTCACAAAAATAAAATATGTAGATTCACTTGTTTAAAGTCTATACTCTGCACCCTTAGTGGTAGCGTACTAAGGTGCCAAGGTACCGGTATTGCGGCCTCATGAATAAACATGAGTATATGACGTCACGAACTCGCTACGAACTCGCCACGCCTACTCTACCCCCTTACCATTTAGCGGGTATCTATGTTAACGTTGTCGCCTCTATAATCTATTTTTGTTGTACGTACGGCCGTACCTACACCCCGACTATATATATATACCTACCTATATACCTACATAATACTTACCTACCTACCTACCTACCTACCTACCTATATATATGTCTCATTTTGAAGAACTTCAGTCATTAATTGTTCTCGCTCATATATTAGTAACTCCATATATATAATATATCCTAGCTTGATAGCACCCCCTCCATTAATTATATTGAGCAATAGAAATATTAACTCCATCACTATCCATCATTTAAACTTGCTCGAACTTCATCCAACCTAGCACCTCCTCTATACAGCCTAGCACCCCCTCCATATTAAGCCTTAGAAATATTAACTCCATCTATCTCCATCATTTAAACTTGCTCGAACTTCATCCAACCTAGCACCTCCTCTATACAGCCTAGCACCCCGGCCATTGAGCCTTAGAAATATTAACTCCATCTATCTCCATCATCTAAACTTGTTCGAACTTCATCCAGCTAGCTAGCCTAGCACCCCCTCTATACAGCCTTGCACCCCCTCCAATGAGCCTATCCATCTATCTCCATCATTTAAACTTGAACTACATCCATGCTAGCACCTTCTCTATACAGCCTAGAGCGACCATTAAGCTTGCATGTTTTCAGACCTAGCTATTACGATAATGTGTATCTGTCCAACCTAGCTTG